TACATGTCAGCCAGAAACCACTCGAGGAGCAAGAATTGCTGGGTTTAGATCAGTGTTTTTCAAACTTGGCAGTTTTAGGATGTGCAGACTTCAACTCCCAGAATTGCCCAGCCAGCATGGGGAGTTGAAGCCCACACATCTTAAAGCACATTCGCTGGGAATTCTGGGAGTTGAAGTCTGCACATCCTAAAACTGCCAAGTTTGAAAAACACTGATCTAAACCCAGCAATTCTTGCTCCTCGAGTGGTTTCTGGCTGACATGTACTCAAGCCCAAACGATTCTGAATTTTATTTATATCCTGCTCTTAGTCCTAAAGAAACCTGGACACAGAGAATTAGGAAAAGCAACAGAACACTGAGCTGCCAATGGATAGACGCTCCTACGGATGACGCCATTCCTCTTTGGAGGAAGCAGCCTTACGCAGAGCGCAGGAGGGACTAAAATAGGAAGCCGAACAAACGAAAGACACAAGATGAGAAAAAGTCAAGGATGTGCCGTTTTATGCCCAAATCATTCACTCTCCTGCTCCGTACGTTTCTGTCCTTGCAATCCATCCCAGTTTCCACCACATCTGTTCACCATTCCATACAATCCCTCTTGTTTTTGGAGTTCCTCCCCTCTCTTTTTTACACAATCTCATCCACCGGCAGTTTTTTCCGTCTTCCTCTCCACCCGTTCGCTCTTTCTTCATATCCTGGTTTTCTTCTGTACCGGTTACTCAGTTTTGTATCTGATTCCTGTTAATTCATCATGCGGCCATATCGAGCTGTCCCTTCTTGCTTGATCACAGCCCCTTCTGAAACCCCCCATTCTCCCTGCCTTCAATAGGGATGTCCTCCTGATGTCGCCAACTCCCACTTCCGTACCACAAGATGGGCAGAAGCATGCTCTTACTCATGGGGATTGCTGCTGTTTGCACTGTCATTAAGTCCTTGCAACAGATCGCATATGGTTAGCCCCGCGAGGTAGTCCAGACCAGAAGCACAACCAGGAGTACGAGCTCTGTCTTTATTGTAAGGTCACATTGACAGACTCTTGCAAGTCTGAAAGAACCTCTCTCCCCCCTCGCCTTTACAGCCCGAGAAACTAGGGAGGGTCCCTTCTGAGATGCTTCCCACGTTCCATTCCTGCCGTGGGCTCAGCTGCCTCTTCTCTGGCCGTTGCCTAGTCTGCGGCTCTTCCTCCTGTCTCCTGAGGTCATTCCCACAGACCATTACACACACACCGCCACCACCTTTCTCACGCCCCAGGCAGTTTTCTCCACGCATTTTTCCATCTGCAGTGAGCATTCACCCACTTGCTGTACTTACTCTTTGTGTATAACTTGCAGTAGTTCAGGCCATTTTACCTGACAAGGGCAACCATCTTGGTCATGTTCAGAGCCATTCTCTTCCTTGCATCACGAGATCTCTCTAACATTTGCTGCAAATCATGTGGGGTCTCAGCCAACAACATAACTCCTTCTACATGTATCCCTAAATGTGTTCAAGAACCCAGGAGAATCATGCAATCTTGTCTTGTCATCTGCTCGGCTGAGGACCGCTCTCTCAGCCTTCCATGTTTTCTTCCAGCTGCGTGACCATTAAAAACCTCACCGTCAACGTGAAATACACACATTAAATCATGCCATTTTCATCTGCTCCAGAGCGTTTGGGGGCCTGGGGCTGCATCTTGCAAATGCCTGGCTGAACAAATGTGCCAATTGTGGTTTATTTAATAACCTCAGTTAAGCAAACCATGACTTTATATGATGTGCGAGATGGCCACAGGTTCAGGGCGGCTATTTGCCCAATCAGTTGTAAAGAAAAAAACATCCATAGGTTACCTTCAGGTGAAGAAAGAGCAATGTCAGAGCGCACACCCGTCTGTGCAATCCGCCAAGATGGACCTAAGCTTCCATCACTAAGCAATGTGGTTGTTAAGCGAGTCACCCTGAATCCCATGGTAGTTAAGGGAATCCGCTTCCCCCGTGGATTTTGCTTGTCGGAAGCTCCCAGGGAAGGTCGCCAATGGCCAACACGTGGCCCTGGGAAGCCGCACCCCGTCATCAATGCTTGCTGGTTGCCAAGCGCCCACAGTTTTCTCACGGGTCTGCAGGGACACTGCAACAGTCATAAATGCGGGGACTTTTAAGTCACTTTTTTTTCCCAGCGCTGTTGTAACTTTGAATGATCACTAAATGAATGGTCATAAATCAAAGACTGCCTGTGTGCAAAGGCAGGAAAACTGGAATTTTGGGTTCAGAATAAGGGGAAAAAATTACTTTGGGACAGGGACTCAGCTTTCAGTATACTCCAGCAGCATTCCCTATAATTTTGGTAGATCGTTTCCGAAGATCCCAGTTTTGTAAACGGCAGAAATATTGACTGCTATTTTAAGCTAAGTGTAAGCACACCATCATGGGATTAGTTTCTCAGGCTCTGCGTGAGCAGGCCACTGTGACATACTAAGCAAAGCATAGTTAAACGTCCTGGCTTAAACTAGACTGCGGTGTGGGCTGCCTGAGTCCCCCCCAGAATGTCTGGGCGTTACAAGCGGCATTCCCCATGCTGGCTGGGGAATTCTGGGAGTTGAAGTCCTCAAGGTTGAGGAACGCTGGCCTGGATGACTGGGTGCGTAGCTGTTGCAGTAGATTCCTTGGGAGTTGAAGTCCCCACAGCTTAAAGTTGCCAACTTTGAAGAACACTGATATGGATGCTTAAAATAGTTTATAGTTGCTTAAGCCCGTCGCTTTTGGAATATGGATTTTAGCAAGCTATACAAATACTGGCTTGGTCTGGAGCCAACAGGAATTTTGCCCTCCTGGTTTAAAGCCATGCGCAAGTGATGCAGTCTACCCCAGATCGAAATGGGTCCCTTTAAACGATTTTTCTGAAATGCCACCCTGCCCGCAAATCGGTGGCCCTTTGTACACCCACCCAGCTTACTGCTAATTCTCTCCTTCGCCTCCCTTCTCTCCCCAAAATACCCCTTAGGGCAACCTTCAGACTAAAGGAATAAAGATGCTCCAAGTATTTCTGAGGCTTCGATTGATTTTGCCAGAAATGTGGGCAGAACAGAACATCTATTTTTGGTGTGGCTGAAATAGCTTAAAAATGAACCCCGCCATTTGTGCCAGTCCAGATTCCTTTTTACTGTATGTTCTAAAACAGTGTTGCTCAACCTTGGCAACTGTAATATGGATGGACTTCAACTCCCAGAATTCCACAGCCAGCATTGAGATTGGGGTTTCAAGATGTGCTGTTCAAGCTCTTTTGAAGAAGCACAAAGAAACGGGCAACGTTGAGGACCACAGACGCAGTGGTTGGCCAAGGAAACTTAATGCAGCAGATGGAGGACACATCATGCTTACTTCCCTTCGACATCGGAAGATGTCCAGCAGTGCCATCAGCACAGAACTGGTGGAAACCAGTGGGACCCAGGTACACCCGTCTACTGTCCAGAGAAGTCTGGCCAGAAGTGGTCTTCATGGAAGAATTGCGGTCAAAAAGCCATACCTCCGACGTGGAAACAAGGCTAAGCGACTCAACTATGCACAAAAACATAGGAACTGGGGTGCAGAAAAATGGCAGCAGGTCCTCTGGACTGATGAGTCAAAATTTGAAAAATTTGGCTGTAGCAGGAGTTCACCGAAGGGCTGGAGAGCGGTTCAATAATGAGTGTCTGGAGGCAACAGTGAAGCACGGTGGAAGTTCCTTGCAAATTTGGGGCTGCATTTCTGCAAATGGACTTGGAGATTTGGTCAGGATCAATGATGTCCTCAATGCTCAGAAATACAGGATCCTTATCCATCATGCCATACCATCAGGCAGGCGTGTGATTGGCCCCAAGTTTATTTTGCAGCAGGACAACGACCCCAAACATACAGCCAATGT